ATATTTTCTATGTGAGACTATGAGCCCCATAAATGTAGATGCCATGTTTTTTCATCCCTGCTATTTCCAATATCTATATATATCCTAGAATTTTAGAAGGTGTTCAATAAATAATCTTCAAATGAATGAGTGTATAAACGAGAAAGTGGATGAACAGGCTGTGAAGTTTCTTTAGCATCTTCTATCCCAATTATATTTGAAAGAGTTGAACAAAATGAAAAGTCTTCATATCTTCTTAGTGTAGGTGGATATAAAGACGAGTCAATCTGATCCAACTCGGAGACATTCTCACCTTGAGGGGTGTACATCACTCATAGGGTGACCACACTCTGAGCTGCTGCCAGGTCCCGTTCATACCTGTTGTCTCTTGCAGTCATTGATAGCGCCCCATTTCATTCTCAAATAGTCTATGGTCTGGATGGTAAATCATATGATCACCCTGATTATAGAAGGAAGGACAGCTTCATAATAACAACCAGTGGTGAAAGCAGTCACGGGGTTTCCTCGATAGGGGCTGACAGACGAGAGGACCACAAATGCTTTCTAGGGCCTCTTTCTGCTGTCAAATTCTTAGATCCTGTAGGCGATATTTAAAGAAGCAAATATGAAATGGACTTATTCTAAGTAATAATACTGAGAACCACTTAAAAACATGATTAACTCTCAACAGTCGGCGCCAATAGGGTAATCAAGAGTATGTGTGACTAACGCTTGTCATGTTTATTCCATATTAGCCTTCTTAATTATACTATTGTTCTACTGAAATTAGTTTATATTCTTTGGGTACATTTTGTCTGAGAATGAACAGAGGGGACCTACAGTTCACTATGGAAAATCCCATGTTGACTAAGTGTTAAAATAGTACAAGTTCACCTTAAACTTCAGATCCATTAAGCAGGGACGTACATTAAAGCTTATTTAAGTTCAACTCCCTAATTTTATAGATGAGGCCTTGAAGGCCCAGGAAGATTGAGCTATTTTGTCCAATATAACTGAACAAATCGTGACTGGGCATAGAACTCACATTGCTCTGTCTTCTCACTGGTAACATTTGCTTGGCAGTAATTTTACGTAGAAATAACAATTAAACTGTGTTTTTATATGTAATCTTATCAGTGTCCTATCTCCTGCGTTATTCAGGAGACTCATTTCATAAGTACCATCTGCTATGAACCTTCTATAAATCTGTTACTGTACTTTTGCTTTCCAGGTAAATCTGCTCTTATTTTGTAGGTAAAGATGAGCATTAAAGTTGGGCAGGAAAGCCAGAGCTGGCAGAAAGAAATGGTTATTGGCATCTTCTGTTTCAACTCTCCATTTCTGTTTTGAAGGCTGGTAACTCCATAGGTAGAGAAATAAACAATGGTGAACTACAATGAAAGCACACACAGACATGCTGTGCATTTCAGAATCTGCATGGGGAAGTGTGCAATGCTCTAAACGAAAAGGGTGACAACATAACCCATTAATCTCCCTGAAGTTTTCAGAGTACACATGCTGCTGACCAGGAAAGGTAGAGAACTTTGATTAGTTTTCCTTATTTAACAACATATTTTCCATGTGCATCAAGCTTAGAATTCCAAAATAGTTAAAAAAAAAGAATCTAAAGAATTTGAGCAGTTATGTTGTAAGAGGAAAGGACCCCCAATTTTTAATTTCAAGTTTAGCAAACGTGCCAAGAGCTTCTCTAAGAGAACACTGCCTCCTTTAATGAAAGAAGGCCTTGAAGAATCACCACCCCCACTCCTATCTCCTGGGGGCTCACACACCTAGATTCTGCTATTTTCTCCAGTGCAAGGAAGGGATGCTATCCCAACACCCACCACTGGGGCGCCCTCCAAGACATCTCAGCTCTTTGTAGGCGGGAGCAGTGGTTCTCAACTACAGCAGTGCATAGCCCTCTTTTCTTACAAATGTCTCTTACTTTCATGAAATGAGAATCATTATGTGTGTGTGTATCACTCCCCTGTACATGTATTTTTAAAAATCAATATAATGCTCTACTGGTAATACAAAAGAGAAATAATAAAGAACATAACTTAGGGCTGGTCCCGTGGCCTAGTGGTTAAGTTCAGTGGGCTCCGCTCTGGCCCAGGTTCAGTTCCCAGTGTGGACCTACACCACTTCTTGGCAGTCATGCTGTGGCTGTGACCCACATACAAAATAGAGCAAGATTGGCATGGATGTTAGCTCAGGGTGAATCTTCCTCAGAAAACAGAAAACAACAACAAAAACATTTATAACAAAAAAATATGTATTCAACATTTAAGCTTAGGTACAAATATACTAGAAATATATATAATGAAGTAGTCAGATTCTATACATAGAGGCAACTGCTAAAATGCAGACAAATACAGGTGTGTTATATTGATGACTCAAATACTTTGAGTGGCACTGCCATCGATGAAATGATCAAACATAAAAAACTCATTGTAAATCTCCAAATAAAATGAAGTCCACTCTTGATTCCTATTGCAGCTGCATTCCTATGTCAGAGTACCATGTTTATGTGTCAAACAGTGCTATAGAACAAACATCCATACCCCTTGTCCCAACTTCATGTTTAATCCTGACGACCACGGGGATGGTGTTAGGAGGGGGAGCTCTGGGAGATGAGCAGCTCACGATGGTGCAGCACGATGGGATCAGTGCCCCTACAAAAGACCTCGGAAAGCTCCCTTGCCCCTTCCACCATGTGAGGACACGAGAAGATGGCAGGCAGCCTGCAACTCGGGAGAGGACTCCCACCAGAGCCCAACCATGCTGGCATTCTGAGCTCAGACTTCCAGCCTCCAGATCTGTGAGAAATAAGTTTCTATTGTTTATAAGCCACCCAGTCTGTAGTGTTCTGTTATGGCAGCCAGAACAGACTAAGACAAACAGTTACATTCTGGGCTCAGATAATGATAAACATATATATTTTCTAACCTACACAGTGTTTCAGAAGGCTGTCTGGAAGTCGTGCAGCATGTGGAACAATTCTTCTCTGGGCATCCTGCAGACATCTTGCATCTCTGACTCCGCCCCCCCCCCCCCAAATTCCACTAGTCTGCCCAATCCAACAGCAGTGACAACAAAGAATACTTCCACAAACTTCCCAAATGCTCCTAGAGGCTGCTTCCACCCTCACTGAGAAGCACTGTTCAGGAGCCAAAGGCCCTCCTGCTCCTCTCATCTATACCCTTCCTCCAGGTTCTCAGATCAGAGGGAGACGAGAGCCCTTTGGCGGGACATGTGTCCAGTTCAGTCTTAACTGAGTACATCTTTATTGAAACCTCCTCATCTCAATCATCCAGATTTTCACACACAGCATTAAACGGAGTTTCAAAAGGAACCAAGAGAAAATGCAAATGACAAGCATATGACACTTGGAGCTGTGTGTTACTAATACTAACACAGTGTTTCTCAGAGTGCGGTCAGGGGTTATCTGCATCAAAAGTATTTGTTAAAAATACAGATTCTGGGGCTCCACTCCACACCTTTGAAATCAACTCTCTGGGGCATGTGGCCATATCATCTGCATTTTTTTGAACAAGCTCACCAGGTGATTTTAATGCCCTCAAGGTTTAAGAGCCTCTGACGCTGTCATCATTACCACCACCACCACTACCACACACAGCTGCCAATCTGCTCATGAGAAGGAGTCAGCGGGGCCTTGCAGGACTGGCCTTTTCTAGGTCCCACATGGCATTTTGGCAGTAACCCTGCAAGAGGAGCTGGGAGGCACCCTGCCCGCATCCTGGGGTTGGACGCATCAGCTTCAAATGCAGGAGGGCCACCTGAATTCACATTGTCCTTTTTTAACCCTAACTTTCCTGAAGCACCAAAAAAATTGCCCACTCTGATAAAAATCTCCTCTCCTTTCCACTCTTTTCAAAGAGGATAATTTCTTATTATTTAAATGAGAAAGATTTGATATTCTAAATGTGCTTTTGTGTTAAAATAAGGGAAAAAAACTGGAAAATAGATATGTCCCTAGGTTTGGACAAGGTTTTGAGGATGCAGAATTCTGCATATAGTACTGCCTGTGAGTACAGAGCAGTAAGGGACACGCAGGCCTAAGTCGTATTTTTTCTTCTATGAGTCAAACAAAGCGGAAAAAAAAATTGTTTCTCTTTATATAATGGTACAGACACAGACTAGATTTCTAACTTACACTCCAAGTTTCAACTCTTATTTTAAAGAGTGTTGAAGATTATTCCATTGGTATTAAACAATAACAGTGATGGTGATATTGATAATAAGACGCAAGGGCACACAGAGTGCAAATGACTTAGGCAGGATTTGAACCCATACTTACCTGCTGTCGATGCCTCCTGTCACCATACCTCACTGCTCTTTGACAAGAAGGTCACGGATTCAGTCATACTCAACTACTTATTACAATTAGGCCTCGGCAGAAGAATGAGAAAATCGGAACCCTAGAGTATAGTGCAAGGACACAGGGATTACACTGCTGGGAATGCGTCACAGAGGTGGGGGAGGAATCAAGCTCCAAACAGGGGACACTGAAGTGATGGGAGATTTGCAACCACAGGAAGCCACCACCACCCTCACCTGAGAGGCAACGGGGGGAGGTGAAGTCACCAGACGGAGCAGGTCATCCAGTGAAAACTGGAACCCCAATAAGCCAGTCCACAAAGGAGACCCAGCATCTCTGAAGAAGTCACTTGAGGCAGACAGGGAAGGTAAGAAACACTACACTGGTTTCTCCCTTGCTGTTACACGCCAATCTCCCACAATGCCTCCCACTGGCCAAACCCAGCCAGCAAACCCAGGAACCTGGAAAACCAACCCTTATGGGCTATTCCCCCTCTATACAGAGTGAGTCAGGGAAGGGCAAGAACTCAGTCTGAGGGCAGACAAATCCAAACAGGCACACCCATACTAGATTTTATTGTTTTCCAGAATAAAGCTCTTTAAGGTTCCTTTAAATAGTAAGCCCCCTAATGCCTTTAGATTAACGTGATTCAACAACAAAAAGATTTTTAAATCACATGTGACATTAAAAACATTTAATATGTAAGCAGACATCTCTTTATACCTATAATTCACTGAAGATTGGAAAACAAAGAAAGCATTATTGAACACCTGGTTGCCAAGGGCCAGCTGGAACAATTGCCAGGCTAATAATTCGGAGTAGGAGTTTTGTTTGACTTACTAGCTGAGGGAAAGGGAAGCTGGCTGCAAAGCGAATGGTCATCTGGCTAATATTTTTGGAAGACTAACTTACTGAAACCCTTTTAAGGTGGCCTTTTGCATGGTTATATGTGGTATGAGGAGTGGCAAGCTTGTGCTAAGAGTCCTGGACGTAGTTCTTTAGAAATGTGAGGGTGACGGAGACTATGGGTCTCTGGAGGAAGTTCTAAGTGCAGCTCCTGGACCCCGAGTTCCACTCAGTTGTGCTCCGGAGACCCACAGCGGCCCCTTTCTGATTAATGGTCGGCTCCAGAAGGGGACAGTTAGGGCGCCCTCTAGCGGGGAGCTGGCCGGGCGTGGCGGCGGGGCACCTCTCCAGCCCTTCTGTGGCATTCTCCAAATACTCCACGAAACATGGCTGTGCTCTTATTAGATATCGAGTCAAAGGAGATTCAGTACTGATTATACTTTGTGTGTGCTGTCACACATTCAGAGGAACTGCCACATAAAGGACTCACATGAAACGAGAGACAGCAGCAGAGCAGACGAGGTCCCAGCGTCCTCCAGAGCTCGGTCACAGGACGTGGAAGGCATCTCCGCGGGGATCTAAGAAGAAGCAGACAGGATGTCTTCTGGGAAGACGGCTCTGCTGACTTACAGGATTTTTATTTGTAAAAAAATCACTTTATCCTGCATTTTTTGAAGGAGGTAGCTAAGGAGGGTAATTTGTGGTTAAGATCAGACTTTGGAGTCTAGTTTCCATTTTTTTAAAAATCTGCTTTATCTCCCCAAATCCCCCCGGTACATAGTTGTATATCTTAGTTGTAGGTCCTTCTAGTTGTTAGTTTTCCTTTTATCTTCGCAAGTCTGTCCCGTTTTCTCTACCGCTACTACCACGGCTCCCTCATCTGTGCACATTGCCACAGCTCCCCCTCATCGGCCTCTCTCTCCTGCTGCTGCCGCTGCGGGTGGGATCTTTCTAAGCAAATAAGATCAGAATCCTCGGAGGGCTCCGCCAGCCTCTAGGACAACGTCCAGATTCCGCCGCAGGACACTCGGTCCGACCACCCTCCAGCGTCATCTCACCTACAGCCTCTGCTCTGGCAAGTCCTGGGCACTCACCCAGGAGACCAACCTCCCTTTGGGGGAACTCCAACCTCCCCGGGCCGGGCCGGGAGAGCGCCCTCCCAGCAACTTGTAATGATTGCCTTCTCCAAAACCTAGTCTCCACAGGCTGGGCCTTATTCCTCTGAGTACTGCCCAACATCCAACGCCTGGCACAAAAACTGCCTCAAGGATAGTTGAGAGGCACTTTACAGTTTACACAGTGTTTTCTCGTATTTGCTCATTTAATCCCCACAAACACTCAGGTGGCAGTATTTCCTAAGTATACAGACGAGGGAACTGAGGTTCAAGAAGGTCAGTGGCCCAAGTTAGACTCAAGCTCCTTGTTCTCTGAGCGGATAGCGCGCAGGATTGAGAATTCCAGACTTGGGTGTGAATCCCGGCCCAGCCAAGTCCTGGCTAGGGGCCGACTTCACCCCCCTGCACCCATGTCCTCGTCCTTAACGAAGACTAATTCCAATTCGGACTAAGAAGGATGGAATAAAACAATGCCATGAAGCGTCTAACGGTGTCTGGCCTGCAGCCGGAACTATAAATGTGAGCGCCCTTTCTGACCCCGAGCTTGGGAGCTGCTTCTCCTATTTCTACAGCAGCTCCTCCTTCTTTGAGCTCCGGAGGCCGCTGCGGGTGCCAACTGTGGGTGCCAACTGTGGAGCGCCGTGCCCGTTCTGACGCGATAGCTGCACCGGGTACCAGCAATCCTTAAAGGAGGGTGGCCTCCCGGCGCAGCTTTGAGAGTGCAGTGGGGGAGGGGGAACTACCCGGCCCTGGGAGGCCGGGGTTGGATGAAGGGCCTGTGGGGGGCGTTGGTCAACCGAGGGACAGCTGGCGCCCCGCGGCACACACTACAGAGGGGCCCACCCACGCCTCCCGAACCTCCCCCCCGCGTCTCCCCCAAGTGGCCGGGCCCGCCCCTTCCCTCCACTTCACCTCTGCTGCTTACCCCCCTCCCCAGCTCCTGGCACTGTCTCTGGGGCCTCAGAAAGCAAGGAGGGTCCCAGGGCAGAGAGGGCTGGGGACGCAGCCGGCGCCGGAGCCCCGGGGGAGCGCAGGCCCCGCCCCCACCACGGCGCCGGCTGGCAGCCGGCGGGACATGCGCACGCGGCGCGGGGCACTGGGCGCGGGGCGCCGGGGGCGGGGAGCGCGCGTGCAGTGTCTCCGCCGGGAGCGGCGGGGGCGGGGACGGACGCGGGCCGGAGCCGGCGGGCGGGCCGTGGGCGGGGAGCAGGACGCGGGAGCAGGGAGCGCGCCGCCCGCGCCGCTGCCGGGCGACGGACCCGCGAGCCCGGACCGCGGCGTCCAGGGGATGCGAGCGGCAGGGAGCTGCCGCGCCGCTGCGCCGGGAGAACTCGAGTGGCGGTGACCTCAGCGAGGGGAGAGCGAGGCGACGGCGGCTGCAAGCCCCGCGGGGATCCTTGGGCCCGGGGGCGGGGGGGCCGCGGCGGCGCGGGAGCGCGGGGCGCAGACCGGGCGGGGCTGGGGGACAGTGATGAGCGAGCGCGCGGGGAGGCTGCACGCCGCCGCCGCCGCCGCCCGGAGCAGCTGCCGCCCGAGCTGCTGCTCGCGGCCCGGGCCCCGGCCATGGAGACGCTGAATGGCCCCGCGGGCAGCGGCGCGCCGGACGCGAAGCCGCAGCCGCCCGGCCAGCACCACCGCCACCATCACCTCCACCCGCTGGCCGAGCGGAGGCGGCTGCACCGCGCACCCTCGCCCGCCAGACCGTTCCTCAAGGACCTGCACAGCCGGCCCGCCGCGCCCGGCCCAGCCCCGGCCGCCCCCTCCCCGGGCCGAGCCCCGGCGCCCGCCGCCCCGCGCTCGCCCAGCCTCGCGGGCAAGGCGCCGCCCTCGCCGGTGCCCCTGGCCGCGCCCGGCCGCCTCTCCCGGCGCAGCGGCGGTGCCCCGGGCGCGAAGGACAAGCCGCCGCCGGGCGCCGGGGCCAGGGCAGCGGGCGGCGCCAAGGCCGCTCCGGGCCCCAGGAGGGCAGCGCGCGCGGCGCCCGCCGAGCCTCTGCCCCGGGCCGGGAAGCCGCTGCCGCCCGGGGCCGAGCCACCGCCCACCGCTGCCAAGGGCCGCAAGGCCAAACGTGGCTCCGGGACGCTCCCCGCCCGCGCCGCCGGGCTCCCCACCCCCGCCGCCCCGGTCCCCTCGGTGATCCTCGCCGTGACCTCCGCGGCCGGCTCCCCGGCCCCCGGCTCGCGCATCAGCCACACCGACAGCAGCTCTGACCTCTCGGACTGCCCCTCCGAACCCCTGTCGGATGAGCAGCGCCTGCTCCCCGCCGCCAGCAGCGACGCCGAGTCCGGCACGGGTTCCAGCGACCGGGAACCCCTGCGAGCAGCCCCTACTGCGAGCCCCGCAGCTCGGGGGGCGCCGCCCGGCAGCCCCGAGCCCTCCGCGCTCCTCGCCGTACCCACCGCCTCCGGCGTCTGCCTCGGGGGTCGGAGCAGCCCGGGCGGGGTCCCCGCGGCGTCCTCGGCGCCCGGCTTGGCGGAGGATGCCGGGGAGCGCGTGCTGCTGGAGCAAACTCTACCCGGGAACCCCAAGGAGCCCGGCTCGGGCGATCAACCCCAGCTGGTACCGGCGGTGGAGGAGGAGGAGCTGCTGCGGGAGATGGAGGAGCTTCGCTCCGAGAATGACTATCTCAAGGTAAGCAGTGGCTCTGCCGGAGGTGTCCCGGAGGCGGCCCCGGAGGGTCTGGGTGCGAGCCGGGACTCGCGAGCCCGCTTCGGGTGCTGACAAGCGCTTTCCCTCTTTTGCCATTCACTTGTCTGCCCCCACCTACGCTGGGCATTGGGAACTTAAGTCAAAACTTCTAAAAGGACAAGAAGACCTGTAGGTCCGGGCTGGTTCTCGACACATTTAGCTTTTCTTGTTTCTAGAAATTCTTTTTTCTCTCTGCTGATGCTTTTGCTCCTGGGGAAGAGATGGTTATAGTCACATTTTGGATACACAGTCGACCCCCACATACCTGCCCATCCTCACCTGTGGGAGTGGGTTATCCCTAGCCAAGGAGCTCTGGTCCGGGCCACGTGGGGGTGTGTGTCGGTTCCAGAGGGTGCGGTGGCCCAGGCTGCTGATGCGCCTGCTGCTTCTCCTGCAGTTACAGCAACCAGCGCCCTCAGTGTCTTCCTGAGGGCTCAGACAGCACAGGCAGAGGGGGCTCCGCTGTTTACGATGGTAAACCTAAGTTCAGGGGTCCCCTGCGTGTGGCCTGGGTTGAGGGGCCACAGTGTTTTGCTGGTCAGTCCTTTGTAAGCGTCCACGAGCAGACTTTTCCGTGTCAGGAGAGGCCACTGGTTCCCTCCACACGCCAGCAACTTTCGAGGGAATCGCAACCTCTGCCACCCTATCTCTGAATATTTTCTGGCAGGGCCTGCAGACAGTGGCCTCTCAGTCTTGGTAGCTTTGGGGCGCTCAATCTGACTGGTTTTTCTGGGAGGAGGAGGGATGGTGCTACAGAACAGAGGGTTTAGACAGTTTTGGGGGGTCAAGACAGTCAAGGTGACTTGAGAGAAAATAAGGGGATTGTATTGAGGGCAACAGTTTTAATCTATTGTAATCCACAGGCTAGTGGTATAAACCTTCTCATGTTTCTGTTGAGAGGGTAACATGTATCTTCCCAAACCAGTTTGCTTGCCCTCCTTTATCACTGGGTTTGTGATCTGCGCTGATTTCTCAGCAAGTGCTGAACCTACCCTAACGAGGCCCAGTTTTTGGCCGCTGGGACCAAGTGTGTGGGCCTTTAAGGTGAATGGTGGTGAAGTGTGCAGTTCCAACTGGAGTCAGTTGACTGCAGTAGTCCTAGTCCTCAACTTCTCATGAGGAGTGGCTCTAAGCGGCGAGCCCAGGAGTTGTTTATCCAGTGCGGAGGTAACAGTGAGGCAGACCAGGGGACAGGTGAGAGAAGAGCAGGCTGGGTCTGGAGGGAGATGTTTCAGATACTACTCTTCTGTCACAACAGTGAAATTCAGAGGTGTTGAGAGAAAGGGCAACTGTGTTGTGTGTGACTCTCTTGAGAGATCAGCACTTTTGTAAATCTTTAACAAATGTAAGCTCCCTGTAGGCGAGAAAGATGGTCTTGTTCAGTTTTGCAGCAGGAACGCTTAGCATAATCCGTGACCCACAGTGTTTCTGATTGATGTTTATGTAAATCATGGCTGCTAAGCAACAGAAAATTGAGGTTTTTTTAAAAGAAAGTTGTTAAGGTAGCCAGTCTGACATTTCAGGATTCATTTCCGGGTAACTGGCTGTTTGCTTTATCTTTTCACATTTTTCGATTCTCAGGGGATGAAATAGGTATCTGACCCGGGCGTCTGATCGGGTGTATTTGATATTTCAGTGAATCGTCACAGCAATATTGGATATAATTGTTGTTATATTTATTATAACCCCAATTTCATAGACAGGGATGCTGAGAACTCAGAAGCCTTAATGACTTGCCCAAGATCATACAGCTAGTGGGTGGGGCAGCTTCTGTTTTTACCGCCTCCGGAGGCTTTGCTTGTTTCCCTGTGCCAGGCTGCGTCTCTCTTTCCTGCCAGGCTGCTTTTCTCAGAGTACACTGCTTGCTTTAGAGTTATTTTATTAACTCAAAGTGTTCCCAATGTTTAGCTTTTCTAGACGACCTCTTTTCTTTTTAGGTGAAAGGGCCATAATGAACGCCTCTCCACTAGCCTGTATACAAATGGTCATATAAAGCCCACTGGCAGTGTTTAATTTGTAGGAAATGTTCAATTGCCGTTTCCTGTGGAGAAAGTGTCACGGCCAGCCGTTTGCTGTGCCTGAGTCCATCTCCAGCTTTTCCTCTGACAGCAGGAGAGAGAAGTGGGCAGAGGAGCTCTGAAGAAGGCTAGGAGACCAGAAGAATGATTGCAAATACATGTGTGAGTTACATGTTGGGTTATTCAAAAGCTCAAATTACAGTAGTTCAATTTGGGAAAGAAACACAGCAATCCTGGTAGACTTTTCTAAAGATCGGTGAGCCTGCCCACTTGAGCAGAATCAGGCTGGGAGCCTCTGTCACCTCCTGAGGCAGACGCAGCAGGCATGCCTTTGCACATGGTGTTTGGAGCGTGCATGTTATAAGTCGAAACTTTTCTTTTTGTTGCTCTGGTTGCTCAGTGGTAGTTTTTTTAGGTGATAGATAAAAGTGCATCCTTGACCTCCTGCTTTCTTAGGGGATGTGGCACAGAACCCTGGCGATTAGAAAGAGCATCCTTCTATTCACATGTATCAGGAAGAGACTCCTCCCAGAACTTTTACGTTGGTATATTCTCAAGGATTGTGACCACGTTAACTATTACATTCTTTCCTGAGTTCTGTCACCATTGCTGTAGAAGACTGACATCACAGTTTCTGAGCTGGAAATGACATAGGAGTAATCGAGCAGGAAAGTAAGGCCTCCAACCAGAGGAGGATGTCTCATTGATCAGGACATTCAGGTGGAATTCTCTTGGTTTTTAGCCAGACTGCTGTATTTTTATAAAGTAGCGAATGTCAACAGAGAAGTGCATGCCTTCTGTCGTCTCTGTGGAGCTGTGTGGGGCCCTCCCTGAGCCTGCCTTCTCTTCCTTCTCTGCCTTCATCAAAGGGCACCAAGCGACTAGGTGACAAATGCAAAATTACTCAATCCAGGTTGCTGGCTTTTTGTGTGAAAATCCGGTCAGAAAAGCACTCTTGTCCCTTTAGCTCTGATGAACTCAAATGTCTTTGGAAGTGTTCAGAAATTAAGGTGAGCAGTTGAGTTCAGATATCCAAAGGCCTTTGCTTCTTTCTTAAACCAAACCCAGGCCCGTGTGTTGACGATCCAGACTTGGACTGGGTGCTGATTGTGTGTTTGCTCCCTGCCTGCCTGCCACACTGTTTTGCTCGAGTGCTCTGAGACAATCAGACAAGCCGTAGTGCTCATTGTGAACATTTTAATTATGTTCTCTGTTTCCCCAGGCTTTTCAGGAGCGTTTAATCACATTGAGTTTACTGGCCTGTTTTGAAAACGCTTTTCACGTTCCTGGTGATGCACTCACAGCACCCAGGTCATGTCCTCTGAAGCGCCTGTGCCCTGCAGGACGGGCGAGGGTTGGTGTCGGAAAGAGCTGCTTATTCTTGCTCTGCTTTTTCAGTTATTTCTTAAGAATTATTTTTGGTTAAAATGAAGTCAGTGCCAGCTACAAGAGCAGATGAGCAGATAACGCTGGATTCTTTGCGAGGAATGATTTCCTAAGGGAGATCATTGGTGAGGTCATTTTGGTTTTCTGGGTTGCAGTGCATCACCGCTCTTACCTTCCTGTTTCTCACCTGAGATAGTCTTTTGAGTTTCAAGCTCTGAAATGGTTTTGTTAAATTTGGCTGCCTGGATCCCAGGCGTTCAACGTGACCCGGAGGCGGGGACACTCTGAGGCAAGACTAAGCAGTTGTCAGCAGCTAAGTGCTTCAGCTCCTCCTTCCCTCTCCTGCCCCCTGCCTCTCCTCCCTTTTTGTTGGAAGCGAAACAGTGGACAGTATTCCTATTCTTTCCTGACATCTCGCTTTCCACACCCTTTCTTTATTCAGCTGGTGGAAGAGCGGCTGTCGTAATCTTAGGTGGCGAGATAATGGAGACCAGGGCCGTGGAACCCTTCAGCTGCTGGGGGAACTGTCCCTTAGTAAACAATGGCAGCAGCCCCTGCGCCTTAGCTACAGCTGGCACTCTGCGGAGACATGTCCATTGTCTGTAGGGAAATGAGGTGGATTATTTGTATATTACAGCAGACAATAGTTCCTGTCTGCAGCTCCCAGAAGATGGAATTATTGCAACAGTAGCCAGATGACTGCTCCTACTGTCCAAATTGGGTCTCTTTAAAGAGGAGTTATTAAAATAGAGCTACTTATTGATTTTGGTTTTTTTAAAGGAGATTAAGATTTGAATACAATTGTCAGTCTGATCAAGAGTTTTCATCACTTATACATACTATTAGAGCATAGATTCTGTTTTTGTTTTATGTTTGTGGATAAAACTGTTCTCTAGAGGTTTTCATCATAACATTTCATTTGAATCTTCGTTTACTGTACTGCACACCTGTTTCCTCCTCTTCCCCTGATTTGGTATATGTGGTAGGGTTGATTGGTTTTATGTAGGCAAAGGGGACTGGTTGGAGAGCTTCAGACTACTTCAAGATTTCATTTACTTCCAAAATTTGAAAGATATATTCAATTAAAACTAGATTTGCTTTTCACTGAGCTCATGATGTAACATTTACGCATCTGACAAACCTAATGTTAATTCAGTAGAAAGCTGTTGATTAAGGGCAGTTTTTTTCCTTATTAATTCGTGTGTATAGAAAAACCCAGCAATTTTTCACTTTTACTTGCTACGTCTAAATTATATCTGCTGGAAACATTATATGTTCTGGTTGATTTGGTCTTCTTAAACATTTAAATGGCAGACATCTTTAAGGTTCTTTAATATAATGTTTTCTAAATTAGAGCATGCTATCGGAAAATTATTGTAATGTTAGTTTGAAAATCACTGTTCATCGTGACCCTGATCTGAATAATGACAATTTTTGCTTTTCAAATGTCTGCTGCCAGCTTTCATGGTTTATAATTTGCTTTTCTTGCAAGTTTTCACTGAACCTGAAAATTGCTTTTTTCAAGGCTCTATGAAAAGACTTGAAACGCTGGCCTCATCCCGTCTCCACAACAGACTAGTGTTGGAAAGCCATTGAAACTTTCAGAATCTCAATTTCCGTGTTTTAAAATGAGGATATTAATATATCTTTGCTGTGCATTGCCGTGTTTTTCTGAGGACCAATTGCGATAATGGATATGCTTGTACATTGGCAGCGTTCAGCTCTAAATATTAGTCTGTTTTTATTATTTTACATTGATGGTGGGCTTCTAAAAAGTACAGCTGAAGGCCTGTTGTTGTTTCCTTTGTCCTGGTTGTTGCGAATAATTTATAGTATTTAATAGAAAGAGCGTGCGTGTGGAAGCAGGCAGCCTGGGTTTGCAGTCTAGCTTCTGTTTATTAGCTATGAGGCTTTGGACATGTTAACCCGTGTGTGTTTGGTTTCCTTGTCTATAAAATGGGGTAATGTGTTCCTGGCAGGGTTACTATAGGGTTAGTAATGAAGGTAAGGTGCTTAGTAAAGGAAGTTTTCTGTTCTATAAATTTAGATAAAATATGAGTTATAAAAGCAGTGATTCAAATATATGCAATTATAGTTTGTCACTAATTTTCTTTTCAGAGCAACTAATGCTGGTGATTATTTATGCCAAAAAAATATTAGCTGTTTACATTTGGCCTACTCAATGATTTGGAGGTGTGGGTTCATCTAGCCCTTTAACAGTTTTTTTAGCCTGCAGTGGTGGCTTACCATCCATATACCATATCCAGCATTTAACATGAGGGCTCTTCTGTTACAAAGTCTGAATACTAGAGAACATTGTTATGCCTGGAAGTTGTATCTTATATCTTCTTATGGCTATATTACATTTTAAAAATTTTTGCTTAGGTAACAGGTAATTTCAGGCATAAATGATTCTGGCTTTTATGATAAGCTTTCTAGAAGGAAAAGCAATCACAAGCAGTTCCTTCCATGAACAGAATGGTCAAAGTCACTGTATATTTGTATGTATACATATGCATACAGTGATTATTGCTTGTATTGAACTATTTTTTATTTGTTACTCAGTGAAACCATTGCCTCTTAACTGTAATCAGACCCAAGTGTAGAGAGTAGACTTTCTTAAAGTCAGGTCCATCAGGTTAATGGATGGGACCTGAGTGAAACTTGACCTTGATTTTGGAGATTCAGGACTGACTCTCCTCTTCATCAGAAGACTGACTTCCATAAGGCCTGTTTTAAAACGTGTGGTCCCCTGTCGGTGTCCTCCAGTATGGGCTGGGTCAGGGGCATGGCTCCCACGTGGCGTCGTCAAAGCCTCAGTGTGAGGATCGGCCATCAGTAACAACCTCTTCTTTGCTGACGGTTGGCAAGGACCTTCGTGTGACAGCTGTGTTCTCCAGACTGTGTCCCTGAAGAGCCCAGCCTGTCCATTCTGTTCATATGTGTCCAACTGACCAGCTTTATGCTTGGTCCAGTAACTCCTAGTCCCAGCAAATTTTCCTGCCAGGAACAAGATTATAGGAAGAGATCTCATGAAGGAAAAAAGAAAGAAATGAAACTTGCTTATGCTTCACAGCATTTTTAATTAGGATGAACGTCTTATATTTTTACTGAGGTTGTCATCACTGGTATAGAAGTTCGGTGAGAACACTTAGAAGCCGAGAAGACAAACATTTTATTCATTTGTCCACTAGGAAGTTGGTAGAGGTTTCCATTCTCTTTGGTAGTCCGTTGAACTTATTTTGAGTTGTGGTCAGTTGAGTAGGTCATTCTCTTGATTACAGTTGTGTGGATGGAGTGAGGAGAATCTATAGGCTGGGGGGTGGGGGAGTGAGCTCTTTCCACTAGCCCAGTGCATACAGGTGAGGCTGGCTGGACAACTGTCTTCACCAAACTATTTGTGCCAATCTGTATTTTTCCATAAGGATTCCCAATTTATTTGGGAATAATAATCTTATCCAGGACAAAATACTCTTCAGGAGATTTTTTTCTATTCAATTTTTTGTCTACCTGAGCCTCTGATGTTGGGAAACTCTTGTTCTTTATTGTAAGTAAATCCCCAGTTTTAAGAATAAGTGCAGGATTAGCAAGAGTGGTGAGAATCCAGGAAAAAACTGAATAGCAGGACGAGAGCTGACAACTTAGGGTGAAGTTTGGGAGAGTTTTTTTCTTGAGCCTCAATATTAATTGAACAAAATACGTGGAAATGACCGAGCGTGTCCTAGACTGGAGGCTTTTAAAACATCAATTATCAAACTAATCAGAAAATTCTTGAATGCTTTCCTTAATCTCCCTTCTTCCAGATTGCTCCTCATTAAGATCTCTTATGATACTTCAGTAGAACTTATATCCCATATGCTGCAGCCTATGGGTTTGGGAAGAATTTTTCATAATTAGGCTACAAGACTGGAATAAAGCAGAGCTGTGGTCGTGTCCGGTTTTGTTCGTCTTTATGCGTTGGTCTTTCTAGGTGTTGACCGATGTTTGTGTGTATTCGTTCCACAAATATTTATCAAAGGTCTACTGTGTGGCTCACAGCGCTGTGGGCACCATGAATGCTAAGAGGAGCAGACACTCAGGCTGTCTGCCTCGTGGAGCCTACCTGTCAGTGTGGGTGACAGATGATGAATAGGAAGAAAAGCAAATAATAAGAGGTGGGAAGAAAACAGAGCAAGGCTGGGGCTAGAGACAGTGGGGTAGGGGGGAAAGGTGGTCAGGGAAGGGACTGTGTGCCTTCTAGATTGATGGCAATGAGCTCTGCAAAGAGCTGGGGAGGAGCGTTTTAAGGAGAGCGCATAACAGGTGTAAGTCTGGGAGCAGTCCTAGACCCTGTGGGATCAGCAGTGTGGCAGGGAGGGAGGTGGCCACCAAGAGGCCAGGGGGAGAACTTCAAAGAATTTTCTGTTTGATGTGAAGCCCCTGATAGGTTTGAGTAGGGGGAGATGCCTGAGTTACGTATTAAAAGGTTAACTCTCTGGGTGGAGAAGAGGCTGTGAGGGATGAGTGCATAGAGGGGAAGCAGGGAGCCCCGTGTGATGGACTTACCTGTGTATGCAGCTACTCCCTTGAGAGGGATGGAGGCAGGGACTAGCATAGTGATGTGGAGCCGCTGGAAAGAGAACCCCTGCCGGTATTTTGATGTTGAGCTGAGAGTACTGGACTGGCTGTGGAATGGGAGGGAAGGGAGGGGAGCAGAAGCAACTCCTGGGTTTCTCCTGTATCCAGTGTCTTCATGTTGGCGTCAAGTAGAATGGAATTGGGAAATAAAGGATAAGTGAGTGGGGAAAAAAACAAACCCATGTGTGTTTGAAATAATGCAAAAGGTTTTATCTTTAGAGTTGTGAGTCACGTAGTCACTGCTGAGATTTGTATTGTGAAGCAGAATTTTAGGGACATTCGCAGGTATAATTCAGGGCAGTTCACAGTTAGGATCCCACTGAAGTTTCCATTCTCTAAAGGCAGGGTCTGTCTGACTCATATTAGTACCTAGAGGCTCGTGCCTTAGAGATAGAAGTTTAGGTAAGTGCCTGGTATGAATCTAAAGGTTTCTTTATCTCTAGAGTTATTTCATTTATGATTGTGATTAGGTAAGGAAATATTGGGAGGGGAAGAAATGCTGAGAGGCTGCAAAGAATAATCCATGCTGTTTTTTGTTTATGGGTCCATAAGATTTGAACAGACATCTGGTGATAGTGTCTTATGGCAGAATTTCCGGAGGTCCCTGTGCCATATCACATGGGTGTGGCCGTAAGCCGCTGGGTGAGTGTGCGGGTAGTTAGTATTTAGTATCGCGGAGCTGGCATGGAGAGGCAACAACACCCTTTTTTGATAGACTTGGCTTATAAATCTACTCCGTCTGGCTTGTGTAGGATGAGTTGGATGAACTCCGTGCCGAAATGGAAGAGATGAGAGACAGTTACTTAGAGGAAGATGTTTACCAGCTGCAGGAGCTACGGCGAGAACTGGACCGTGCTAATAAAAACTGCCGAATCCTGCAGTACCGCCTCAGGAAAGCTGAGCAGAAGAGCCTGAAAGTGGCCGAGACTGGTCAAGTGGATGGCGAGCTGATCCGAAGTCTGGAGCAGGACTTAAAGGTGAGTGAGTGCGTTGCTGGGACAGATGTTCCCAGAAGGGGCTGCTGCGTGCAGGATTACAGAGCTGAAAATGCAGCCCGCAAACCCCGCTTACCCAGGGTCTTCGTGTTCTTTTAGTGTTTCTGTCTCAGTAGATTTCTGGATGAATATTCTTTGTTCACTTTATGGCTTGTAAGGTTGTGTGTAATCATGTGGTTTGACAGCCTGATTAAATGTCATATGAACTAGAATCTTAAAATCTAAGAAAGAAAGAAAAGAGAAGAAATCATAGTAATGAATCTATAATAAAAAAAGAATGAATGGCTACCAGTTGGTCTGGCAGTTGTGTAGAAATTGTACAGAAACTCCTTCTAAAGATCTGAAATGTTTAAAAAAAATCTATTGATTATCAATTCAATTACAGTCAAAGACCACCCTGAAAAGTTGACTGTAATCACTTAACAGTTTTATTCTTACTTAAATTTCTAGGATGCAGAAAACCTGAAATTACCATAACCCAAGTGAGGCTTGTGCAGGGGCCATTCAACTGAGGGAGAAATAGAATCATAACTAAATGTCTCAAGTATCTTTGAGAACTGTTGGCAGAAATGAGAATGAGGTGAAGAAATCCCAGACTTTATACCATGCACTCTCTCCATGGGCAGCGTAGCGTCTCTCATGCCCCAATTATCAAATCTTCTATCTAGAGGTGCATTACGCATAATGTCCTCCTTATTACGGAGTGCTTAGGAAATCTCGTTTTGCCTTTCATTATGATAACAGGAAAGGATCTTTGTAATTCCATCAAATTTATAAACCACTAACAAAATGTCATTCGATGTGATATAAAGGTGATTTATATTTCTTTTGAAAAATCTCTTTACTCATTTCCTTTTAGAAAGTGAAAATGTTTAACTGCTTTAAACATTCAAATATCTTACCACAGTAGACAATTTAAAACTTGACTATCTTAACTATCTACTGCATACAGAATTATTTTACTTGCTTTTTTAGCAGGTAGGTTTAGTATTACTTTAGGAAACAGCAATGTTTATCTGTTTACCATTATTGTTGTTTCTTCTTTTTTTTTTTTTTAATGATTTTCTTTTTCCTTTTTCTCCCTAAAGCCCCCCCAGTACATAGTTGTGTATTTTTTAGTTGTGGGTCCCTCTAGTTGTGGCATGTGGGATGCCACCTCAACATGATCTGATGAGCGGTGCCGTGTCTGCGCCCAGGATCCGAACCGGCGAAACCCTGGGCCGCCAAAGTGGAGCACTGGAACTTAACCACTTGGCCACGGGGCCGGCCCCTATTATTGTTATTTCTAATTATCATTTAAAGTGTGTGTGGGGGCAGAATTGGCATTCTTGGTGATATTCTGTAAGGAGATAGGGCTATCCAAAGTGGCCCTTTAATCCAGATAAAAGTCACATTCTTTCTCATAATGTGGATTTTCATGTTTTAAACTAATACCCTCCTTTAAAAATCGGTTTGCTTAATCTTGCCAGGGTCTTTGTTCTTTGGGTAATACCAAGTTACTTAATGGTTCTGCCTCTGAAGTTGTTTGAACGTATCCTTAGCACATGGATAGCTTCACATCCTGAGGACTCTCTGTGGGTCGATGCAGGTAGCCAAAGACGTATCGGTCAGATTGCACCATGAGCTGGAAACTGTGGAGGAAAAGCGTGCTAAGGCTGAAGATGAAAATGAAGTTCTCCGACAGCAGATGATCGAAGTGGAAATATCCAAGCAGACCCTCCAAAATGAGCTGGAGAGACTGAAAGAGGTAATCCAGATGTGTACGGGGCTTTCCTCTTGGGTTTAATTGTTAGGAACTTGGCGCTGCAAGTGTCCCATTCTTACTGTAGTCTACAATAGGGGTCGGCAAACTAGGCCTGTTTGTATGGGAACTAAGAATGGTTTTTACATTTTTTATAGCATTGTTAAAAAAACCAAAAAACAAAACCAACCACACAAAATAAGCCTAAAAACGTAAAGAAAACTATGTGACAAAGACTGTATGTTGCTTGAAAGCCTAAAATATTTGCTGTCTGGCCCTGTACAGAAAAGGCTTGTTGGACCCTGCTGTAAAGCTGTTTTTTGTAATTTCCATTCATATGAGCTGGCCGTTAATTCCTTTTATGTGTCCAAATGGGGTATATTATTACTAGAATACAAAATTAAGCAATATCTTTTTTCTCAAGAGTCTTCTGTTCCATTGAGCTAGAAAATATGTTATGGTTGTCTATTAAAGCTGTGTGAACAGATAATGTATGTATGCTACCTATATCTGTTATTCAGACAATATAATTTAAATATAAATTTTTTTTAAATTTTAGGGAGTTAATGTGTCCTAGAAAAGTGGTCCAGAAAATGAATATACATATACATACATGAATATATGTATTTTCATTTGCGTACAGTAATGCAAATCCTGTTTTTTTGTTGACTTTCATTAGAAGATCAAAACTGAGTATTTTCTTGGGAAATATCCTGCATATTGATGAAGTTAAAAACTATTGGTTAAGCTTTAAGATGATGGCTAAAACCAGCGTATTGCCTTCTAACCGCCTCTCTTGGCAGTTCATTTTCCCTTTGTGTGAGTTTCTTGATTCTCTCAGTCACTCCTCATCTGTCCTCCCACGCTTAGTTCAGGCACTGGACTAGGCCCTGGGGATGCAGCTGTGAAGGTGGCAGCATAGGCCCTGCCCTCAAGGTGTTTACAGTTCGATTTGGCACATGGGTAGCAAAGCAAATAAATCGCTGCAAAGGAGCCAGTGCTGCAGCTGCTCTGGCTCCTCCCCCACACCCCCTCCTCACAACCGTGCTGGCCTCCCTGCTGTTCCTTGAACTCGTCCTCCCCTCTCCCATGGAACATTCTTTTTCCACACCCCCACACCCCTGTGGCTCACCCCCTCATCTCCAGGTCTCTGCTGACGTCTCACCTCAATACTTACACATTAAAGTTACCCGTGTCTCCGCCCTGGCCCGCCCAGTCCACCTTCCCATCTGACACACTGTGGATTTTGGTCAATTGTCTGTATATTGCCACCACTTATCTGAAAATGTATGTGTTTTATTTCTTTGTCTTTTGACGGTCTCCCTTTCACTAATGTCCCTCTAGAACGTGAGCTCCATGAGAGTGGGGTTTCATCTGTCCATTTCACTGCGGGGTCCCTAGAACAGTGCCTGGCACATAGGCGTTGTCGGGGCCTTGCTGGGTCAGGGAGGGAATGAAGGTGAGACTGTGGAGCTATACTGACCGCAGCTCGCCTGGGGGACTTGGTGGGCTTCACAGAGGAAGAGGTGGATTCCGAGAATGTTCTTTCTTCATGGGTGACTCTTGTCCCTTAACTTGCACGCATACTTAGCACCAGGACTGGAGGAATTTCTCCTATGATTGTGACTCTCTTTCCTCTACACTTACGGTTTCTAGTAGTTTGCTTCTCTCTTTTTCCTTTCATCTAAGTTTGCTAAAAGGTATGCCATAATCGTTTCTTTTCTCAAAATTTCCAGTTTGAGCCTGACCTTGAAGGGATAGAAAACAACTTAGAAGTATATTTTGTAAATTTTACATGTGTGTGTGTTTGTGTATAAATATATAAATTATATATACACATAAGTAAATAAACATATTTTAAGCAAGCAAAGATTCTTTTGCACACGTTGAAGTGGGTTTGTCTAGAACTTCGCATCAGGTCACGAATAGCTCTTTGGGGAAGGCAGTGATTACTGTTGCTCTCGACTTTCAAAGCCAGGCAGCTGTGAGGCAGGGGTCTTCGGAGAGCTATGGTGCTGGCTCAGGCTGGATGGGAGGAGAGCGGCGCGGGTCAGCTCCGCCCTTCCTTTGTGCGTTAGAATTACTCAGAAGGGGATTGCTCAGTTGGAACACAGTAGTGTTTTACTTCCAGAGTTGCAGTCAGACTGGTGGCACTGCATATTTACACCAAACTTCTAAACGAATTGTTAAACTGACAGGAGTCTGAGGAGGGTTGGATGCTGGTAGACTGTGCTGGAAGCAGAATGATAGAACCAAGCAATACAAGGTTCAAAGGTGGTGGAGATATTTATTGGAAAATGCCAGCTGTGGGCTCCGTGAATGGGTACTTTTTACCAAAGCGAGAACAAAATGCACTGTGAGTTTTGCTCTAGGGCGAGGGTGATATTTTCTCTGTCCTGAGCCTTGCTTATTATCGTTCACCTCTGAAGTTTTGTAAATGGATGTGTCACATTCTGGAAAAGGCAAGGACAGTTCGTGCATTGTGCACGTCTCTAAATGACAGAAGGAGTTTCAGAGGTATATGTACCCGTTGGCCTCAGAGGACAGTAAATCATGCATCGCCGTGCCTCTGCAGCTGTGTAGCTGCTGCTGGGGCCTCTCTCTTAAGCTGCAGACTGTATTTTCAGCTGCCTGGTGCACTTCTCCAACATGGATTTCTCCTAGCACTTTACACTCAGTGTGTCCAGAAACAGACGTATCACCCTCATCCCACCTGCACCTTCTTCTGTCTTTCCCATCTGTGTTAATGGTGCCGCTGTCCTCTTAGTCACGAGGCTTCAGTGATGGCCATCACCCTTACCTCTCCTGCTCCCCACCCTCAGTTGCCTGCTCTGTGCTTTAGGTTCTACTGTTCTGCTTTTGCAGTCTTAGAAATTTTCTTTCTCACTGATACATGCTGCGACATAACATGGAGGACCCTCGAAAATATACCAAGTAGAAAGAAGCCAGACATATCGTATGAGTCTGTGTATAGGCAATATTCAGAATAGGTCAATCCATAGAAACAGAAAACAGATTAGTGGTTTCCAGGGGCTGGGGAGAAGGGAGAACAACTGCTTAATGGGCATGGGGTTTCCTTTGTGGGGATGAAAATGTTTTGGAACTAAATAGAGGTGATGGTTGCACAAGTACAGTTCACAAGTACAGTGTGAATGTACTAAATGCCGCTGAAATGTACACTTTAAAATGGTTAATTTAACCTCAATTACAAACATTTGCTTTCTGTATTCTATCCATCCTTTCCCCAGTCTCCTCTTAAATAAGTATTTGAGGGCTGACACCGTGTAATAAGCACGTTAAAGACATGCTCTGCTTCCAGTAGTCTCTCCCTTTTCCGTATTGTCGTTTACGTCCCCCAAATCTGACTGTGTTGCTGTCTGCTTAAACAAACTTGCTTGGGTTCCCAGTTGTCTAATTCTTTAGCCTGACACAGAGAATCTTTCCTGCCTGGCCCATCCCTGTCTTCCAGCTGGGTTTCCCACCCCATGGCAGGAAACCCTGGTGTGACATAAAGGGCAGTTGAGAAGGATGAGAAGAGGCTGTGCCCTCTGGTCCTCTTTGAATTAATAGAGGTGTGTCTTGGAAAAGTCACTTTCTGCATTGATAGAAGAGACGATTACTGAAGGCTGGCAATATTAACCCACTGGAATTGTCCCTTCTGGTTAGCCGGCTTGCTTGCTTGCTTCCTGTGCCTATTCACACCATGCTCCATGCACCCAAACTCCCATATACCCCTTCACTTGTGCAAGCTCAGAAGTGTTTTCCTTTTTTGGGGGCGTGTATTTCTTTTAGTACTCAACTCTCTCTATGGTAGAATATCTCAGAAGGTTGAAAATGGTTAACCTTAGCTTAGTTTCAGCTTCCTAAAGATTACTCAAGTGTTTCTACTCAATACTGTTTCATTCTACCAAAAATTTTTGGGTATTTATTATATGCTCAAGACACAAGTAATAACTTGCCAAGTTAGTTGGTAATTGCAAGGAACAGAGGCATATTCTAAAGTACTCTAGGGACCTAGGATTATTTTTTCTTTTCTTATTGAGGTATAAGTGACATACAACATTATATTAGTTTCAGGTATATAACATAATCATTCAATATTTGTATATATTGCAAAATGATCACCACAATAAGTCTAGTTAACATTCATCACCATATATAGTTATAAAAATTTTTTTTCTTGTGATGAAAACTTTTAAGATCTCCTCTCTTAGAAACTTTCAAATATGCAATACAATATTATTAACGATAGTCATTTCTGGACGTTACATTCCATGACTTAATTTTTATAACTGAACATTAGTACGGTTGACCTTAAACAAATAGACAGCCAGTTATTTCTCCAGGAAAAATAGGTTATTCAGGATCAGCAGAGAATTGCATTTTGGGGTTTGCAAGCCGTGGCAAGCCATGTGCGAGTTCCCTGGCACCAAGGGAGGAGAAACTCTTTTCTAGAGGAGAGGAAGAAGTTGGGAGGGCTGTTGTTAACCCAGAGTTTGAGCTGTAGTGGCTTTTCATTGGCTGGGTTGTGACAGGCTCTCACTGGCTGAACTTCTTGCTGATCAAAACAAGGAAGGCCTTCCTCTTCCTGTTGGGCTCCGCTGTGGACATAGGGCATGAGAGGTCCCCCTTTTGGCCTCCCAATTTGAATTTAATGAAGCTTCTGTTTATTAATTTGACATTTTCCTCTTTTGATCAAGCTCTTTCTCTGAAAGCATTGCTGATCAAGAATCAGGTTTCTGTGTTTTCAGCAGCCTTTTATCTCTTGATGCCAGGAAGCTCTTTCCTGGGTGTCATGTCTCATGTCAGAGGGAAAGTGCACAGTGTGGAAACCTATTGAGTAATAAGGAGGAGTAGGAGGGAGAGCTCACATGCATTTTTCTTTTCTAAAGTTCATATGTTATCAAGATCATAGGCATTGGAGATTATCCGAAGCATAATGTCATCATCAAAGTTTTGGCAGATGAACTTCCAACAGGCCTGGTCTGGACATCTTGGGAAAGCTA